TCCTGATTGGCCGGGAAGTTGGCTTCATGCTGATTGGCTGGGAAGCCGGCTTTTCAACCAAACCGCATGGAGCCTGCTTCACCGGGCAATCAAGAAGACGGGCAGCAGGTAATGGCACGCCGCCTGGCTCCCTGATTGCCTAGGAACCCGGCTCCATGCTACCGGAAGTATCGGTACTCGGTATCGGCAAGTACCTGGATATAAACATTGGTACTCGATACCAATAAAAAGGGTATCGGCACATCCCTAGTATCTAGTTTCTTCCTTCCATTGCTTTATTACAGCACATGTGACTTGCATGAACCGTGTTAGGACAATCTTCTATTGCATCATGGGAGTTTAGGTTTTTTGATCCTTATCTGCTCCCATATGCGGAGGAGGAGCCTCACACAGCCCCTAACTTTGTTCTGTTCTTCTGAGATGACATCGGGATTGTGATAAGTGGTCAGTCCCGATGCTGATGGTTCCTTGCGGTCTCATTCTGGTTATAATCTGACGCATCACGTGTCCACGGGAAGAGTACAAGACTCAGTCTGGCAGGACGCTCGCATTACACCGCTCTTGCATGTCTCTCTGTAGCGGTACCCTCATCCTCTCGTGGGTTGCTGTCTCCGGTGATGATCGAATATTATGAGCGGAAAGCTCCGGCCTAGGCCACAGAAGGAAACCGTGCTGAATTTGTTGAAGGGGAGGGCCGGGAAACTCATTCTTGAAGGCCACGAACTTCATTCTTAAAGGACCTCTCCACTCAACGCTGATACTTCAGATTTGAATGCGAGCCGCCAAGTCCACCATGTTGGCTTCTCTGATCTCTTGGGAACCCCAACATTGAGCCGTGGCCATTATGATTTGCAGTTTCCCTATAATGGCCTCCCCGATTCTCTGCCCTTCCCCCACAGGGGCGCAATGAATTTCTCTAAAGAACCTCCGAATAGAGGCCGGTTCATAATGGAACAAATCGGTCCCCACCCCAAAGGGTGATATTGATTTGGTTGGTTTTGTGCAAATTGGGCTCCCCTTCAGTCTTGCACAGTTGTACCGGCTCTATTCCTGGACTGAAGTTGCTTCCTCTGATGTCACTGCACACTGCGAGCATCTCGCAAGGTGCATTAGAAGCTGCAGCAAGTCCGATGGAGCCCGCCTCTGATAACTCAGCAATGTAAATCATTCTCTTGTGGATGTTAAGCTGTCATAGCTTGCTATTTAAAGAACAACCCTGGGCAGAACTGTTCTTAGCCCTTGCAGTGGGTCTACCACCCCCCGACATGCCATGCCACAAATCCCATGAGGCATTGCAAGATTCTCACAGCCACAGACATGACTCCCGAAGAGAGATGCATCATGGGATTTGTAGTTTCACCACAGCTGGAGGGCCGGAGGTTTGAGACCCCTGGCCTAGATGCTTAAATGACGAAATTATACCCTCCCCATCCTCCAAGCCAGCTTGCTCTTAGACCGGTGCCTGGAGCCTCGCTCCCCATCCGCTGCAGCGGTCTAAGGTCCCTGCGACTCAGCGTTTAGGAAGTAAGGACACCGAAGGACATACCATCACTGCAGTGGATGGGGGAAAGCTGTCCGGCTCCGGGGGTCGGGAGAATATAACTTTTTTTTATTTTGGCACCTAGACAAAAACGTGCAGTTAACTCTTGCAATGCTGGGAGGGGGGGACGGGACGGGACTGCCAGGGTTAAGGACAGTTTTTTGCATAAAAAAAAAATACGATCGGCAACTTCCCGATGAGCGGAGCGGCGTGCAGGAAATATCGAGCGCAGCATGTGCCAACATTTCCTGGGGTGCGGACTCATTTGTTTTTATGAGCTGCGGATACAATAAACTCCACAGATCTGTGATTGGGATTTGTTTGCATAGAAGATGTTTTGGGACGAGTCGTTTCCTTGTTCCGTGCCCTCCTGTACCCGCGTGTTGGGAAACGTTCTGCTCTGCCCGGGTTAATGATTATCGCTTCCAGATTAATGAGTATCGAAAGCCGAACTGAAGCCAAAAGTTTTGTTTGTTTGTTTTGGATGGAGGTTATACATAGAGACGCACCAATGGCAGTATTTCAGTATCGAGTATTGATGTATATATATATATATATATTTTTTGGCACTCGCCGATACTGAATATCGATACCGAAAGTCCCATTAAAGGAGAACTATGGGGTTTAGGGCTTTTCCCCCGTTCTCCTTAGGGTAACGGGAGGACACAAACTAGCGTCCTCCCGTCACCAGCTGGGTGGCGTGTTATGACTCGCCGCCCCTGCTTCCTGATTAGCAGGGAAGCCGTCACCAGGTGACAAGGAAGCATGGAGCCAGCTTCCCGTCAAATCAGGAAGTCAGGTGGCGAGTCATTACAGGACGCCCAGCTTTCTAATTGGCCGCGAAGCCAGCTCCATGCTCTCTCGTCACCAGGTGACAAGGGAGCATGGAGACAGCTTCCCATCCAATCTGGAAGCTGGCCTGCGATCCAATACACACTGCCCGGCTTCCTGATTGCCCGAGAAGCCGGCTCCATGTCTCCTCGTCACCAAGTGACAAGCGAGCACGGAGACGGCTTGCCGGCCAATTGGGAAGCTGGGCGGCGAGTCATTACAGGACACCCAGGTTTCTAATTGGCCAGGAAGCCAGCTCCATGCCTACGTTGTCACCAAGTGACTAGCGAGCATGGAGCCGGCCAATCAGGAAGTCGGGGGTGAGTCATTACACACTGCCCAGCTTCCTGATTGGCCGAGATGCCAGCTCCATGCTTCCTGGTGACGAGGGAGCATAGATCCGGCTTACTGGCCGATTTGGAAGCCGGGCAGTGTGTACTGACTCGCTGCCTGGCTTCCTGATAGCAGAAGTTCCAGGCTAGGCATCAGGAGCATTTGGGCGAGTATGAGTATCGGTACCAGTGCATCCCTAGTAATAACCCTATCAGTTTTTTTTTTTTTTTTGCCATCTGTGCCCCATTGGGAAGATTTCTCTTCACTTCCTGCCTGATAACCACAACAGGAAGTGAGAGAAAATCCCTAGTGTCTCCATTGGAAGATTTCCCATCTATTCCTGTTCTGGTGACAACCCAAAATGAGGATTTCCTTTCACGTTCAGTGATAATGGTCACCAGGACACATAGAAGGGGGGAATCTCCCTAATGGGGACACTCCGCTCCATCCAAAACTGAAAAACTTGGCTTCAGTTACACTTTGAAGTGCAGCTATAGCCCAGGGGTGGGCAACACCTACCCCCCCCAGCTGTGCTTTAACTATACATTCCTACATGCCTCTGCCTCCGGGAGTCATTCCTCATGGGATTTGTAGTTCCACAACAGCTGCCAACCCTTGCTATAGCCAAATGTTTAGTTTTTTTCAGTTTTGGGGATAGATTAGAACCCAGATCAGGTTTAACTTCTATCTGGGACTCCATTTGAAATATATAAAGCAAAAAAGCAGGTTCAAACACTGACAAAGCAGTGTTTGGGGGTGTTTCAGTGCTGCTGATCTCCTGCACCCTCTTTGCAGCCACTTCCTGTGTATGTGCACTTCAGCGATGGCTGCCACGGCATTTCTCAGGGCGGATTTCCTGATGGTGATAAAAGTGGACCATGTCTGTGTAATGTACACCTGTTGGAACACTTTTACTCTCCATTAGGAGAGACTGTGAGAGGGTGACGACGCAGGAACCTAATTGGGAGCCAGGGACAGAGGGTTGCCACCCTATAACAGGAAGTGCCTGAACAAGGACCTCCACGGCAGGATTACCAGCTATTATTTTAATAAAAACTGCACATATTAAAAAATTACTTTTAAAAATGACAGTGACATGTAGTGATGTGCTGATAGTGGTGTCGGTATCGGTACCGATGCTGGGCCGGCCTGTTCACGAGTACTTGTTGCGCCCAGATACCCAAAACTGATACCGGCATGTTACATTGTTACATTGAAGCTGCTGCTGTACGGTCTCACGCTTGCTGCGCCTTGGGAACTACGCAGAGCCTGTTTACAGTGCTTCCACCTTCCCCACATCTCCCTCTCCTGAGACCCTCCGCAGCCCTCCTGAGACCCTCCGCAAAAGTTTTACTTGCGTTAACATTGATGAAAGCGCACCAAAGATGCAGCAAGCAGGATTCTTTTTTAACTCACTTTGCCCCATAGCTCACCACACACACGTTACAATCCGATTGTACAATCTCCTTTTAGATCTACCAGTAAGTATGTAGTACAAGAGCCTGATTGGACGGTGTAGCTATGCCCTCATACCACATAGTGTTAGTAGATCTAAAGTTGATTGTGACGTGTATGGTGAGTGTACGACGCATGTGTGTGAACGGGGCCCCGTATGAGATCTTTTTGTCGCCTGGGTTTCCGTATTTGGTCCCCCAGAAGCAGTATTTCCTTTTCAGTTCATTGCTCTTTTGATGTTTTGTGTGTTTGCCTTCCGTCTCCAGAGGAGGCTCGGCATTGTCTTTTGTTGTGCCGTGGCCGGCTCTGTAGCTGGTCTACATCTGATGACACAGCAGCGATCACAGGGAACACAGCCTCTGGGTGGGATTTCTCTTCCCCGTCTCATTCCTCTATTAGAGTGGTTACCTTGTTGCTGACTGGCTGTGGTCCCCCCCTTCCTCCTCCTCCTCCTCCTCCTCTTGTTCCCCATCATCCTGTATGCTTCACTTCCTAGTAATTGCTACAATGTAGCGGGAGGGAACTGACTTGCTGCATCAGAGCTTCAGGTGCCTCGGCTCTTGCTAGTCTAGCTTCTTCAACTGGCAACGTTTCTCCTGGCGAGCGACGATCGCTCTGAAATAACAGAGACGTCTGACGACCGACCCACATGTGCCTTACCTCTCGCTGCCTGTGAAGCTTCCTCTGCTCTACGGGATCCTTTTTCTTTTCTAAAGCATGCTACGTGGAGAGCGGAGATGAGACATTGGCGGCAAACAAGTCGAAACTTGCTGCATTCGGGACCCTAAACTGGATGGTACACCTGCTGTTATTTTTGTGTCGTTTTTTTTTGGGGGGACGTCGCGAAAGCCCGCTACCTGATCCTCTTCTTCTGCGTGCAGCTGGTGGTCATGGCGCTGCTGTACCGCGAGGGCTATCGGAAGAGGGTGGCGTACTTTTTCAGCATTTTCGCCAAGAACGGACCCCACTCTTTGGTGTCGCTGGCGCCTCAGAACTTGTCCTTGCCCGGGGACGTTTACAGCAACCTGAGCTTGATAGCCAAGCCGGCCGTGAGCGAGGAGCTGCTGCCGTTTTGCCCGGAGACGTCGCCGTTTATAGGTAGGTGGTCAAACTTCTGGATTTGGGGGGGAGGGTAACCGAAAGCGCGGTGGTAGTTGCAAGGCTTGTGCTAGATTGGAACGGTGTTTGAGGCCAGAGCTGGACAAATCCTGAAGTCAGGTCACCAGTGCCCCTTACAATTTACAGCTGGCACCCAACGTTTGAGAGTTTTCTCTAGTTGTTGTCAGTGGAGATGGCTCCTAAAAAAACTCTGCTGGCCCCTAGTTAGGACAGTCAGGTCACCAATGGTCCTTCAAAATTACAGCTGGCACCTAACTTTGAAGTTTTCTCTAGTTGTCAATGAAGCTGCCTCCTGGATAGTACAGTCAGGTCGCCAATGCTCAAAAATTACAGCTGGCGCCTAACCTTTTGAGGTTTTCTCTAGTTGTTGTCCATGGAGTTTGCTCCAAAATCCTGCTGGCATCTAGATAGGATTGGTCACCAATGCTCCTTAAAATTTAGAACTGGCGCCTAACCTTTGAGGTTCTATTAGTTGTCAATGGAGCTGTCTCCTAGATAGGACAGCCAGGTCGCCAATGCTCCTTAAAAATTGTAGCTGGCACCTAACTTTTATGGTTTTCTCTAGTTGTTGTTGTCCATGAATCTTGCTCCGAAAAATTCCTGCTGGCAAGATAGATAGATAGGACAGCCAGGTCCCCAATGCTCCTTCAAATTTAGAGCCGGCACCTAACCTTCCTTTTAGTTGTCAACTGACCCGGCTCCTAAAAATAAATTCCTGCTGGCTCCTAGATAGGACAGTCAGGTCGCCAATGCTTCTTGAAAATTGTAGCTGGCACCCAATTTTTGAGGTCTTCTCTAGTTGTCAGTGGAGCTTGTTCCTAAAAAAAATCCTGCTGGCTCCTAGATAGGACAGTCAGGTCGCCAGTGCTCCTTACAATTTAGAACTGGCGCCTAACCTTTGAGGTTCTATTAGTCGTCAACTGAGCCGGCTCCTACAAATAAAATCCTGCTGGCATCTAGATAGGACAGCCAGGTCCCCAGTGCTCCTTACAATTTAGAACTGGCGCCTAACTTTTGTGGTTTTCTCTAGTTGTCCATGGAGCTTGCTCCTAGTTAGGACAGCCCGGTCAGCAATGCTCCATAAAAATTACAGCTGGCACCTAACTTTGAGGTTCTATTAGTTGTCAATGGAGCCAGCTCCTAAAAATAAAATCCTGCTGGCTCCAGGATAGGACAGCATGGCTCCTGATTTCCATATGGATTTGTCCACCCTCCCCTGGGTAAAGCTATTGTGATGAGTGTTTTTGGAAGTGCTTAGGGATTGTGGTCAATGGGCAGAGATTTTCCGGCATGCAGAAATGAAATGTGAGAATTTGTTGTAAGAATCATTGGGCAGGATATCTGTGGCTCATTCAAGAACCACAGGGCCATGCCACATGTCATAAAGTGCGCTTTGGTGTGAAGGGGCCCTCTAAAAACGTTATTCTCGCCAAGATAGTCAGTCGTGTATAAGCAAATTTAGAGTGCATGCTCTGTTGACGTAGAATGTGAACATTATGTTGTCTTGTGGTGCTGGGGTTGTGGGTTCAGCTCCACAGGATGCTGGTGTGTGGAGTTCCTCATAGGGATGATGAACATGCACGGATGTGCAGTTCGTGCGTGCGGATAGCAACGTACGGCCGCGTCCTCACATAGGGAAGAACAGGCTGCTTAGCGCAATAACACGCAGCACCTGTCCCTCCCGGGGTTGGCCTGTTTACGGGCATGCACACTGCATGGACGTGTACGGCCGTCTGAATGAGGCCTTACTGTTAAAGTAATCAACTTTCCACTTAATGGGTCGGTATGTCTGTGGTGGGGGCATTAGAGTGTAAGCTCATGGGGTTCTAGAGGCTGATGCGATTTGGTTCACTGTCCCTTATAAACCTCCACAGGATATATTTAGCTATTAAGATAACCTGCTTTAAAGTGAACCTGTCACTATGGGGTGGTAGGGGGGGAACCCATGCGTCTGACAAGGGAACAGGCGATTGACCCATCCAGGGTGCTTCTGGAAGCAGCTGCATTTCAAGATGGGGCACTGGAAAGGTAAGGAGCGCCTTAAAGTGCAACTGAAGCCAAAACCTTTTTTTTTTTATTAGTTTTGGGTGGAATTGGAATTGTAAAAGAAGTTACAAGCTTACAAAAACCTTATACAATTCATATTCAGAATTGAAAGGTCGAATATTCAGCATTTGGCTCCATGAAGTAAAAAAAGTGTAAACTTTGTCAATCTCCGTTGAACTATTTTTACATTTGTATACTTTCATTGTTAAAAACACAGGAAGGTAAACTCGCCATGGCCTATAAATTGTCATTGTTGTTGGAGCAGATCAAACCATCTCGTGTTTAGATTGACACCGTAAATCCCGCACTTCATGACAGTTCCTTCTTCCATCTGGTTAATTACCATTTACCACTGAGATACCGTGGGGGGTGGGGTCATCCTTTTCATAGCAATGCATATACTTGCCATGAACAATGCTTCCCTAATAAAAAATCTGGAATAATTGCAGCCAATGTTCTTCATTTCATATACCGAACAGATGCAGATGTGCAGGAGGAGGTTGTTACGTTGTAATAAATTAGCAAGTAAACTTATTACTTGTCTCCAAAAATCAATAATAACTCCAATGGAGTGACACTGCCTGAGGCCAGGAGCATTTTATAACAATGGTGGTCAACTTAGATGATATAGGGGGCCCTCAAGTGTGGCTACTGACATTACCAAAACCCACTCTTAATAATTAGTATATGTAGTGTTACACTAAGCTGACAGAGACTGCAGACGTGCAACAGGAGATGGCCAGAGACGGCAGACGTGCAACAGGAGATAGGAGACGGCAGGCGTGCAACAGGAGATGGCCAGAGACGGCAGACGTGCAACAGGAGATGGACAGAGAGTGACACATACTAGAGGAGATGGTCAGAGACTGCAGATGTCCAATAAAATTGAAATAAACTGGTACTGAAAGAAATATAAAGGCTGCCATTGCTGTATACTGACTGTGTCTATTTTTAATCACTGAGCCAAAAAGGAGGAGTCAAGAACTCCTAGATGATTGTCCCTGGTCAAGGAAAGTTCTGAAGACATTGGATTAGCTGGGCAACTAGAATTTCCGGGGAGATCAGGAACGGCGGCACCCACTTCATCTCAGTACCGGTTTATTTTATTGCCAGAGCTTTATAGATGGCGGAGAATCTAGATTGCTACAAAGGATTGATCTAAACCAGCAGCAGTGCCGGGTGAAATGCATTTACAATTTTCCATCCCTGTTTCGATCATTCGGGCCCTACATACCACAGATGACAGATTGCTGCTGACTGTTCAGTTCCATGTGAACGTTTTTTTTTCTCTGCCAAAAGCTGCCGGAAAGTTTCCAGAACTGGCGCCTGCATGGGGTGGGTTAAGGACGCCCAAAAACATTTCTGTACGATTGGGCAATTACTGCAATCCTGAGCAGCACTGGTGATTAATAGGCTATCGCAACCTTATTGTACAAGATGTTAAGGAAACATCAAAATATATTTCTGCTCGTCTTATTTTGTCTGGCCTGGAACGCATCAAAAACGCACTGGAACGCACCTGTAAGGCCCTTTTTAAGCTAAAAACAAATAAAATAATTTCAAATGTGGCAAAATCGCTGTAAAAACGCAGCAAACCGCAATGCACTGCGTTCCAGATACGGTCCGGAAAATGGTGTGAACCTGCCCTCAGGCCTCGTTCACACCATCCTCAGCGCGTTCCGGCCCGATTGTGGCGGGAACGCACTGGATTGCATTGCGGCCGGCTGAGTTTGTTGTGTGGCGGGAGGGGGCTTGGCGGTGCAGTGAATTGCACCGCAGCCACGCCCTCCAGCCGCAATGCGATCGGGACGCACAGGAACGCGTGGCACATCAATGCCTGCGTTCCGTTCCGGTCAGAAGAAATGCTGCACTATTTCTGACCGGAACGCAGGCATTGTTGTGCCATGCGTTCCCGTGCGGCCGAGCGCATTGCTACAGTGCCATTCACTTCAATAGACCGCCGCGCCCCTCCAACCCCACAACATAATAGGCCAAGGGAAAAGGGGAAGAAGGCTAAATGCACTTGGTTTTAGGCTGGGTTCACACCTAGGCGTGCGTATCGAATATGCACGTGTGACACGCGTTAAAACGCGCGACAAACGCGCATTTCCGAGGGCTACCTGGCTGAATCCCAATGGAAACGCACGACAAAAACGCCCCAAAGAAGCTCCTGTACTTCTTTGGGCGTAGGGCCTGTAATACGCCCAGGTGTGAACCATGCCCATAGGAAATAATGGGATTTCGGTGTTTGAGCGTTTTGCAGAGCGTTCGAACGCGCTACAAAACGCCCAGGTGTGAACCATGCCCATAGGAAATAATGGGATTTCGGTGTTTGAGCGTTTTGCAGAGCGTTCGAACGCGCTACAAAACGCCCAGGTGTGAACCATGCCCATAGGAAATAATGGGATTTCGGTGTTTGAGCGTTTTGCAGAGCGTTCGAACGCGCTACAAAACGCCCAGGTGTGAACCATGCCCATAGGAAATAATGGGATTTCGGTGTTTGAGCGTTTTGCAGAGCGTTCGAACGCGCTACAAAACGCCCAGGTGTGAACCATGCCCATAGGAAATAATGGGATTTCGGTGTTTGAGCGTTTTGCAGAGCGTTCGAACGCGCTACAAAACGCCCAGGTGTGAACCATGCCCATAGGAAATAATGGGATTTCGGTGTTTGAGCGTTTTGCAGAGCGTTCGAACGCGCTACAAAACGCCCAGGTGTGAACCATGCCCATAGGAAATAATGGGATTTCGGTGTTTGAGCGTTTTGCAGAGCGTTCGAACGCGCTACAAAACGCCCAGGTGTGAACCATGCCCATAGGAAATAATGGGATTTCGGTGTTTGAGCGTTTTGCAGAGCGTTCGAACGCGCTACAAAACGCCCAGGTGTGAACCATGCCCATAGGAAATAATGGGATTTCGGTGTTTGAGCGTTTTGC